ATACACTTTGTTATATATGCCACAGTAGAAGCGTGTAGCTGTAAGGCGTAATCGTACTCTTATGGAATTGGTTAGGAGTATGTTAAGTAATTCCTCGTTACCCATAATGTTGTGGATATTAAGTAATCTAAAGGGTACAAGTTTTATTATCCGAAACATTGTAAGATAATTATTGAAACCGGTAATGTCAGATTCATTAAGAATGGTGAATCAGTGGGAGTGATAAAAATAAGAATTTGATCATTTCAGAAGTTAGGGTACAAATATCTTTACCCATAACTTATAAGGAAATAATTGTTCCTTCAGTTGTTGAACCGTATAATAACGAAGAACAATTAAATGATCAACAACTCTATAATGAGATTGTCACCAATGAATAGATTGTAGAAGAATCATAAGGAATAACATTAAGACGATCTCAAAGAGAAATGAGATCTGCTATACCGGATGACTATGTGATATATCTGTAAGAATCTGATTTTGATATATAGTAAGATATATACGGATCCGGTTACATATTCACAAGCCATTAACAGTAATGATTTTACTAAATGGATTAGTGTCATGAATGAAGAGATTATAAAGAAATCTTCTCTCTAGTATTTAAGAAGAAATCTTTTAAAATATCATGGCATTAGTAACTTATTATGATTTAGAGTTACATCAAATAGATGTGAATACAATTTTTATGAATAGGAGTTTATAAGAGGAAATCCATATGGAACAACTTGAAGACTTCATATTAGAGGGTAAAGAATTCATGGTCCGTAAACTTAAGATGTCAATATATGGATTTAAACAAGCTTTCTAACAATGGTATATTAAGTTTAATGATACCATTATTTCTTTTGGTTTTAAGAAAAACACTGTTGATCAGTGTATATACTAGAAGGTTAGTGGGAGTAAGTTTATATTTCTGATTCTATATATTGATGATATTTTATTTGTTAGTAGTGATCTTAGTTTATTATATGAAACTAAAAGTTATCTCTAAGAACTTTGAAATGAAATATATGGATGAGGCATCCTATGTGATAGGAATAGAAATATTTCATTATAGATCACATTGATTTGTTTTTAGAATTGTCTCATAAAGCATATATTAAAAGAGTTCTAGAAGATTTGGTTGGAGGAACAATATTATGAAAAAGTGCAAAGTAATTTATGATTACTTTGTCTATTATGAAATTTTAATTTGTAACATGCTTTGAGTCTATAATTTATGGTTGTAGAATTTATTTCAGGACTTGGAGTTATGGGTACCGTTTTCAGATTGCTGAAAATTTATACTGCAATTGTTGATCTTCTTGTATGAAAAATGATAGGTATTCTAAAGTAGAAATACTTTATCATTAAAGAAGATATTTAGAAACAACGAATGTCTATTGAAATTATAAGCACACAACTTATGATTGCAATCCATTAATGAATGGACTATCATCCAAGACATTTATGGAACATGTTAAAAGAATGGGTCTTAAATGTAGTCAATGATGATTATTTTTTAATTGTGGATTGCTTAAATAGTGCTTATATATATTTGACATTTTACGCTGATTAAATGTGTTTCTGATATTTCCTATTAATTAATGTACATGTACGTATTGTTTTAATAAGTGGTAATAGGAATAGTCTTGGAAAAGACATTATTGTTAGATCATTATTGATATTTCTCATTTATAGACTATGTTGAATAGATTACTAGTGTTGTGGTACATGGAAGGGACTGTGTCATTTAAGGATATATAACCGCCATGACTCGCATTGGTAATTTATTTACCATGGTATTTATGATGACCAATTTAATGAGTTAATCTGATTTATGGTGCACATTAATGACTATTTTACTAAACCACTACAGAAATTATCAGATGTGCCAAGTGGGAGAATGTAAGATTATTTATTTAATTGTGGCCCACATGATTTGGACATGTGACATATTACTTGGTGGGTAAGTAAATAGATATCAATTAATATTATTTATTTTTGGTCAACTTATAATTACCTTTTTAGTAATTACTTATTGGAGAAGTGTTTTCCTTTCTTATTCCTTACTTTGATGGAAAGTAGAATTATGTTACTATAAGGAAAACTGGTCCTCTCTCTACCTTTATAAAAGTGCATATACTCCATCAATTATGTACAATTAATGATACAACACGTAAAAGTTTTATGTGTGCAAAAGGTCAAGAGAGAGAAACCAGTTTTCACTTTTGCCTGTTGATCAGAGTTGCAAATTAGTTCGTGGCCAAAGGATCTGGACGTTGGATTTAATCTCAACAAGAATTGATATCGTGAATCGAGGTATTTATATCTAACTAGTATTTATTTATACATTATAGATATGTGAAAATCATGAAGTTCTAATATATGAGATTCATGTAAATTTGTGATTAATGGCTTAACACGAATTATTATAGTTTACTGTTGTCCCCACTCATTTTGAACAGTCATATATATACACAAATATATTGTACAAATTAATTTCAGTACATGAAAATGATACTGAGGTCATGGGATATTTTCATGAGGTCCCAAACTTACTTTTCATGATATGCTCTCATGGTTGGGATTCTTTCGCTCAACTCTTAAGATGAAGAGTGGGCAAGAGTAGCACGGTTCTTAATTAGTGTGTGTGTGTGTGTGTCTATATATATATATATATATATATATATATATATAATTGTATCTGCAAGTATTATTCGAAAAGAATGGTAAAAGGTTTTTTTTTTTTCTTTTTTTTTCTTCCTTTTCTTTATTATCAGGAACCAAGAACAGGAATATACAAGAAAAATGACTCTCTTTCTCTGTGTATCACTGAGACTATTAGGAACCAGCTGCAATTTCATTTGATTACATAATTAAAACTGTAGGATGAATAATATCCAACTGTGCTCACGCTGGGAGAGCTCGCAATAGCTCTGAATGACTAAGTAGGACGTGAAACTCCTCTATACTTTACTGAGGTACAAACTAATTAATCACTACAAAAACATTAATAGTAGTGGAGAAGGGCCAGAGATTTACCTCAAGAGAGAAGATCTGAGCCATGGTGGTGCACACAAGATCAATAATGCGGGTTGGCAATTCATATTGGCGTGTCATGTTCTTGTCGACATGATTATGATATAGACACGATTAGAGTTGACACGAACACGACACGATTATTAATCGTGTCTAAGACCCTTGACACGAACACGACACGATTATTATACGTGTAACACGATACGACACGCATAACCTATTTAATAAATGAGTCAAGACTTGACACGACACGACACGACACGAAAAAACCCATTTAAATCATTTTTAACACGAATACGATATATTTATTCGACACGTTTTACTAAACAGGTCATTTTTGACACAAATACGATACGTTTATCTGGCACGTTTAGTTAATCAGGTTAATCGTGTCATAATCATGTTTACAGGGTCAAACACGAACACGACACGTTTAGTTAGCGGGTCAATCCGTATCGACACGATTATGACACGAACACGATTAGCTCAAACCCAAACCTGCTTATCTCGTGTCATATTCGTGTCGTATTAGCGTGTCGTATCAAATATTGTCACCCCTAATATTAATGCCATCGCCCAGGCAATGCTCGCCAAATGCATGGGCCTCGATCAATAGCATTGTGGCTGCAACAGGAGCCGGCCAGCACGGTGTTACAACAGCTGCTGCATGTGCCAAACTCTCTTTGGACTGTACCATTTTCATTGGTAACTTGAACATTGAAAGACAACCTTCCAATGTCCGCCTAATCAAATTGCTTGTTGCCCAGGTATTCTATATATTTTCATTTTTACCATTACAATATCTTCTCGATTATCTAAAAACGGATTTTTTTACAACGGAAAGTCTATTCTCGGAAAACTGAACCAAGCAAGCAGCCTCTTAATTTCTTAAACATTTCTAAATTGCTGCAATATATATCTGGCTCAGTTTAAATCTGCGAATGGAAATTTCAAAGATTATGGCAACTAATGAGAAGGGTATGGATCCGCTATCCATCGTGCCCAGTTCAAGGGCCATCAGTTGTGTACATCTAAATTGGTAATTTTATCTTCTTTTATATTTTTAATATTATTTATTTTAATGGCAAAAGGGTATTATATTCTTTTTATATAAATAGGAGGGTATTTACACCAAATTAAAAAAAGAAGAGTGTTTTATACCACGGTAACTTTTTTGCATTATATGAATAGTGCAGAGGATTTTTTTACACTTAGCCCTTAAATATAAAATTGATAGTATGTGTTTTAGCAATAACAATTTTTTTACAACTTGATTGATATTACAACTATAATTGATTGAGCGACCATATATACTCTTTTTAGTATTAATTCGAATATGATGTGGAATAACTCTAAACAATTCCTTTTTTCTTTTTTTCTTTTTTTTTTTGGGAAAGTAACACAATTACTCTTTCTTGGTTTGCTTACAAAATTATTTATATATTCTTTAAGTAAAACATTTTCTCTGTTTAAAATCCATGAAAATCAAATGAATGAAATGATGTCCTTTTCAGTCTCAAACTATAAGTACTATGTACTCCGTGGGCTTTATCAAATGGTGAAAGACCGCGCGAGTCCTATTTGGTAATTCAACAATTCGCCTATACTATACTCGTATAACTTTAGACCCAAGAAGCAGCATCCCATGAAATATATATATATATATATATATATATATATGAATGATGGTGAATGGTTTGACCCTCTCCATACGTACATTAATAATGTGTCTGTTCAATGTATTGATGCTTAATTCCACTATCAAAGCATTTTCCTCATTCTCAATATGCATCGTCATACCGTTCGAAAAAATATATATATGCATCGTCATCCACATGTACAAAATTGTGTCACAATCTCGACCTCGTTTTAATCATTTAAATATTCTCCACCGGAAATTTTATGAAGTCTCACCATAAGTACATCATGAAACTCGTGTGCTAAATAAATCGTAACAAACTTGCACGCGTACTCGTTTACCACCTTGCTTTTTCCAATATATAAGTACTCCCTTGCCATAATTCAAACACATCGACCACAAACAGAAAATTAATATAAAAAAAAAAAATCAGTGTGTCATTTAGGTCCTCCTCTCTCCCTCTCTATCCATATCAATTCGATCATGGCATGCAATTTCAAAACTGTTCCTCTTCTTCCTCGGAAATTTCTTTCATCCACTGAATGGATGCCATCGACGAGACTAGCCCATGCTTTTCGGTCTCCAAATGATCAGGGCAGTGCCTCCATTGTATGCTCAGTTGCAGCAAGTCATGAGACACTGGAAACAACTAGTGTACTTGACTTGGACACTTTGGCCACGAGGTCATTAGAAAAGAGGGTAATTAATGTTGTGACCGAAGGGAAAAAAGTGAGTACGAGGGGAAAATTTGGGAGGTTTGGAGGAAAGTACGTGCCTGAAACACTAATGACTTGCTTGGGCAAGCTCGAAGCTGAGTTCAACTTTGTTTTACAGGATGATGAGTTTCAGGTTTGTTCCTTAATTAACATTTATAAGCAATGCATTATGACTCACTTCTATTACATGTCTTGCAGAGGAGAACCTTGTATTTTGATTGGCTGAGTATACCAATAACTTTTGTATGTCTGGCTCTCTCTATCATTATCTTCTTTTGCAGAGAGAGGTCAATAGAGACGGTAGTGAAGACAGATGTATACACAAGTGAAACGTATATATATAATATGTACTAGTACGGGGCACTAGGTAGTGTGTACGTGTATAATTATACGTATGTACTATGTAGTTATTCAATTGATGTTACATGTATATGTATGGACCAAAGATTCAACTTAGTAAGGGGTCCAACCGTGAATTTCCTGATCCACATATACATAAATTTTGGACCACCACAGTTGTATACATGGACCCACATCAACAAACACATTCCTCCTGGGGAAATTCACTTCAACCACTCATTTTTCCATATAATTTTAGGTCAACAATATTTGGAGTATTTAGCATTTTCGTTTCTTGTCAATAAGAAGAGTTCGGTCATAATCACACTCTTGTCATGAGAGAGTTGTTTGATAGCCATTACTCATTTTCTTTTCAAATGGCACTTATGACAATCACTTTTTTTCCTCGGTTTTGAGAGAACACATGTATGAAAGATATAATTTGAAGTCATTTTTGGAACAAGAGCAGTGTCTTTTGATTACATAATTAAAACCGTAGGATGAATTATATTGAATTGTAATTTCGCTGCAGGGAGAGCTTGCAACAGCTCTGAAGGACTACGTAGGACGCGAAACTCCTCTGTACTTTGCCGAGAGACTAACTAATCACTACAAAAACATTAATAGTAATGGAGAAGGGCCAGAGATTTACCTCAAGAGAGAAGATCTGAACCATTGTGGTGCACACAAGATCAATAATGCCATTGCCCAAGCAATGCTCGCCAAACGCATGGGCCTCAATAGCATTGTGGCTGCCACCGGAGCCGGCCAGCACGGTGTTGCAACAGCTGCTGCATGTGCCAAACTCTCTTTGGACTGTACCATTTTCATGGGTAACTTGGACATTGAAAGACAACCTTCCAATGTCCGCCTAATCAAACTGCTCGGTGCTCAGGTATTCTATATATTTTCATTTTTAGTATTACAATATCTTCTCGATTATTTAAAAATAAGTTTTTTTTTAATAACTTAAAGTTTGTTTTCAGAAAATTGAACCAAGCAGCTAGCTCCTTAATTTATTATACATTTCTTAATTATTGCAATAAATATCTCGCTCAGGTTAAATCAGTGGATGGAAATTTCAAAGATGCAACCTCAGAAGCTATTCGGTGTTGGGTTGGGAACTTGGAGAGCAGCTATTACTTGTCAGGTTCCACGGTGGGGCCTCATCCATGTCCAAGCATGGTACGGGAATTTCAATCGGTGATCGGAAAGGAAACAAGGAAACAGGCAATGGAGAAGTGGGGTGGGAAGCCAGATGTGTTAATAGCTTGTGTAGGGGGTGGTTCAAATGCATTGGGTATGTTCCATGAATTCATAGGAGATGAAGATGTGAGGTTGATTGGAGTTGAGGCTGCTGGACATGGCTTAGATAGTGGGAGACACTCTGCAACAATAGCTAGAGGGGAAGTGGGAGTTTATCATGGAGCTATGAGCTACTTGTTGCAAGATGATGAAGGCCAGATTATTCGCCCATACTCTATTGGTGTTGGGTATGTAAAAATTAACAATTAATTTTTTTTTTTTTCATTCCGCAAAATAATTGGTGGTTTAGATCGTACGTACACAGTCTTATCTCCACACAATTCTCTTATTTCGGGTACCTGACCATTGCGCCAAACTAATGTGCGTACTTATAGTTGGAACCAGGGCCGAGCTCGAGCCTTAGACAAGTTAAGCGGTTACCTAAGGCCCCAACCAATAAGAAGGCCCACAATTTTTCATTTCTTTATATATTATAACATTCTTAAAACAATTATAGTATTTCATTTAAACTTCAATGCATAGAAAAATTTGACAATTAACTTAAAAGATTTCTATTCTTTATCTTTTTGTGAGGGTCCCCAAAATTTTTTTCTTTATATATTATAACTTACCTAAATATTTTATTTTCTTATATCATTAAATTTCAACAAATACAAAATTTAATAGTATGCGCAAAATATTTCTATCCTTATATTATCTTTTTTTTTTTTTTTTCTCCCTCTCTCTCTCTCTCTCTCTCTCTCTCATCCTCATTACATTAGCATATATACACACATTAAAATTAAATATTAAATACAGTATATATTTAAGTGAAAATTGATGAAACTTTCTATATTTTTCTATGATTCCTATTAATTTTTATTTTCTCTTTTTTTTTTTCTTATTCCTCACATATATATATATATTTCATTTTCTCCACTTTTACAATTTACAATCTCACTTTGGAAGAAGATTTTGAATACACCAATATTCTATTAAATAATTTATTGGACCATTAGACCAAATTATTCGAAATCAATTTTTATTATTCTATAACTTAAATTAGTTTATAGTTTTATTAATTTTTGTTATCATAAAATTATATATTTTGTTTATAATTTTATTATATTGTTAAATATGACTATTAGAAAGCACATAGCTAATTAATTAACGATGGAACTAAAGTTTGGAAAAAATTTAGTAATAGGATTCAAAATCACTAAACAAATAATTAGCTGACATAAATATATGGATAGATTTAATTAAAAGGCCATTTTTTTTTTTTTTCTTTTCGTCTAAGGCTTCAAATTATATTGAGCCGCTCTGATTGGAACTAACTATATATTAACACATATAGGTTGGAGTACCCCGGAGTAAGTCCAGAGCTCAGCTTTCTTAAGGACATTGGACGTGCTGAGTTCCACAGTGTCACAGACGAAGAAGCAATAGATGGTAAGACAATGAAGCTGAATATATATATATATATATAGATATATATATATATATATATGAGACCCTTTTGTTAATTTGTGTGATCACGCGCGTGTATGGCTTTGGAGCATTAATAATTGTGGTTTTTTTTATTTTTATTGGTTGCTGCTTGCAGTTTACCAACGACTATGCCGATTAGAAGGAATTTTCCCGGCCTTGGAGGCCTGTCATGCATTGGCATTTCTAGAGAAAATTTGCCCCACTTTACCCAATGGCACCAAGGTGGTTGTTAATTGCAGCGGGCGTGGAGACAAAGATGCTGCAACAGTTTTCAAATCAAGACAGATGGATTATTAGCTAATTGATTTATACATATCATTATGAAGATATCACTGAAATTGTTCAGGATTTGAAATAGATGCTTAAAAGTTGTGTTACTTTTGTTCAGATAACTACTACCTTTGGTGCAGAAAATTCAATTAACTTAGAAAAGTCAACGTATTTTCATACAACACTTGAGAGCATGCGTTAACTTGTATATCTTTTATGAGGTATTGACCTCTATTTATAATAAATCCTAAATGGTTGAGTCCTTTTAAGACTCACATTACTTGTTAAATCTCAATTACATTGCACAGCCCTTACCATAAGGATTTACATGATTCAGTTTCCTTAGATAATAATCATTCTTTTTATAAAATTGTTACCAAATAATGGGTTTAGACTTTACAGCGGGTTTAAAATCATACTAGTTGGGCCCTCTCCACGAGTCCAGTCTATCCATGCTGAGGCCCAAGTTGTAAGTTGAATAGTCTTCATATTTTTTTTTATGATCCCCTTACATGCTAATGTGTCAATATGCTATTGATGGGGAATTATTTTCCCTCGACACGTAATATCTAAACAATCAATTTTTTAGTGTGTTCACCAATCTTTCATCAGTGTAGGCACATGGAAATGCGTTCATTTGCTTGTGTTAAGGAGTCCAAAGAAATATTAAGCCTAACTGAAGAAGCACAATGCATGTTTTCAAAACCCATCACATTAGAAAGATATCCGCGATGAGGTGACTAACCAGAGGCCTTGTTTGGTTTGCGATAATAGTTTTTTGCTCTTAAAAACACTGAAAATAAAAAAGAGTACAAAAAACTCTGCTTGGTTCAGTATTCTAAAAACTATTTTCCTTTCTCTTAAATTCTTGAGAACTATTTTTAGAATTATAAACCAAGCAAATCCAAAATTTTTGAAACTATTTCACCAATATTTCAAGAAATGACGGGAAAAACTTCAGCAGAGGATGGTGTCTCCATTAATATGTAAGCAACCTAAACCAGTCACCATCAACAAACATTACCATACGAGCTCAATAGACTATGAGAAGCTTTGTATGTCTATACTGCATAATAAAGGCTTTCACGTGCACCAAGGATTCAAGAAACTGTTACCGCAGTAGCAGAGGGAATAATTCACACAATGGGTACAGAATATGGTGAATCAATCACAGATTTGGGAGTCTTCTTGACGCACTTTTTTTCCGCACACTTCTGATACAAGTGCAACAGGCTTTGCGGTATTTTGGGAGAACAATCCTAGCACCTCCACTGAATCATTTCTCTATGATGTCAAGTGAGTAGATTACATAACTGGCAACTTAAATATCCTGTCAAAAGACGGTTAAGTAAGAGTTTGTCAGCGTGCCATAACATTAGGTATGTGAAACAAAACAATGATTCAATAATGCCGCGTGACATACAAGTCTTAAAAAAATTTCATTTCACAATCAATGCCCTTGCCCATTGTCCAGAGACTACATGCTTGTAGGAAAAGATTTACTGGTTCAGAAACTACATGGTCTTGCCCTATGGCCAGAGACGACATGCACCTAACCCAAAAATAAGGAGTTGTTTGTGCACATAGTTTGGTGGTTGTAATACCAGAGAGATTTTGCAAGAAATTAATCCGTGTTGCATTTTTCTTCATTAGGAGGAAAGGGAAGATGATAGGGGGTATATTGCCTGGTCCATGCTTTAATTATCCAAGGGGCAACTGGCCAATTCGATACAAAAAAAAAGTTTCAGAATTTGCAAATTTGGATACAGAGAGTAGAACATAAACAGTTTATTGCAAGCCATAAGTCTCGCAGGTTAAAATATCTCAGCATCAGTAATTGAGAAATTAAATGAACAGTAGCTAGAAGAGAGATGATTTTTCATAAGAGGATCAAGGTCAAATTCCAATTAAAGCGCTCGAGTCTTTGTTCATAAATACAATAGTACCCAATTCAATCCTTGTAAAAACTAGAAAAAACATTGACCTTTCCAAAACCACCACCAAGAAACCAATTGAGCTAAGGCTCATTTGCCTGATGCACATTAGTTTAACCACAAGTAAACTCTCTACTTGTCACTAATTTGAGGCCTCAAGGGGGAACAGAAGTAATTCATATGCTAAGGACTTCAGATTCCTTTGTTCTTAAACTGCATATTTCTAAAATATATATATATATATATATAATGCTACCACTTAGATGCAATCTATTTGTGCATGTGTGAGTATGTTTGTATGTATGTATCATGCAAAAAAGAGGAGGAAACACTTGAATGCTAGATATTTGAAAAAACAGTGACAAGGAATACAGACCTCATGATTTATGTGAAGGAAAACGAAGAATTGTAGGAGACCTGATCCAGCAGCACTTGTTAGCAGATCTAACTCTTTTCATCTCCACCATGGAGATCCAGCCTGGTAAAAGTGCTCTCCGTCATCCCATGAAATCTGACATGCTTGAAGACCAATAGCAACACCAGGTTCCTTCCCATGCTGTGTCATCCACTCTTGAACAGCCATTGCTTTATCACCCTCACTTGTATATTGTTTCTTGTACTTGCCAAATGGGTTAACTCCAGGAGTGCTCATCTCTTGAATTGCAGCTGGCATGTACATTGAGTCACCCACAATTGGTGCACTGCAGGCAGCCAATTGTGCTCGAATCTATATAATGTGACATAAAGTCATCAAGTTCTGAAAATCCACTTCTAAATGAAGCCTTATAACTGGCACCTACTTGACACTTCTCTTTAATTTGACCTGATCACATATTCCTAGTTGATTCCTCAACGTGCATAAAACAATCAAAGTAAAACTATAACCACGTTTCACTCCCCACTACCCCAGAAGCATAGGGGTAAAAATAATACCACAGAAAATTGATCCAGTTCTGAAAAGTTATATTCTATGATTACAAGAATAAAGGGAAAACGGAAAACAAACCACACATAAAATAAGGGGAAAATACCTGATGAGTCCGACCTGTCAAAAGGTTGATTATACACTCGTATGCAAAATCTTTTGAAGGCCATCCACAATCCTCAATGCTATACATCTCTTCAATTAAGGAATTTGGCCAAGGAACCTTCTTGCATTCCAAGATCTCAAGTTGACACAAGTTCCACCCCTTAATGAAATCTGCATGCATCCACATTACTTGAGTTAGATACAAAGAAGTTTTTCTTCTTCTTATTCTTTTCCTTTTTCTTTTTCCCGGCATTGTGACGCATGTTACAGAAATAATGTTTTCAAACTTTTCATTAAGTAAATTCAATTAGATTGCATCCTTATATGAAATCATGTAATGTGGACACTGTATTGGTAGTTGAGAAGACAAGGGAAAATTAATTTTTTTCAAAATAAGAAGTGAACTGATTGGGAATAACACATTTTGAGTAATATTAACTAATATGATTTCCAGTACATATATATATCTATATATATATAGATATACGAGGCATGTTATTGTTTTAGAAAGAGAAGTGATCAACTGTTTAGTTTCAGTTTTTGAGGTCTGTCCAAGTGCAATAGGATAAATTATGTGATTAGAAGGGCTTGGGATCCCATCAAGTAGAGCTCTCTGTAGGTCATGCACAAATCGAGAACATTCACATAAGAAGAGCACAAGCAACTTTGATAAGTAAAGAGACCCATCATATCCTTTGTTACTATTTGTCTCACTTGGTCAAAGTATTTATTTGCATTTCAAATTGGGGCTACTTAAATGAAACATCACAACATATAAGTATCTGCCTTCTTCAAAACATAAACTTTCTAAAGAGTTATCTAAAAGACAACTTCTTTAAAAAAAACGAATTCATAGGATTACCATTATGCTTGTTAGATGTTACCTTCAGAAACAAGTCTTGGGGCAATGTTAATCGGACGCATGTAGTGGGTAATTACTCCAATTGGAACAGGAGCGGCAGCAAGAGCAAGATAAAGCTTTTTTACCCTTTTCTCCTGATGGTAAAAGGACAAATAGCTTCAGAGTAAATGGCCGAGACAAGTCTAAAAATAACTAAATAAACCTCAATCCAGAAAAGCCTTAAGTAAATAATTGAAATTCACATTGAAAATGTATTCGATAGATTGCACTTGTCTATAGTAGAAAAGAAAGTTATGAACTTACTCTGATCTTTTCATGAAAAACTGAACAATATTCCTTTGTTCTAGCTAAAACAACACTGCAGGAAAATGAAGCCATTACTTGGTCTCTAAATTAATAGCCAACAAACATAAACATATATATAACTAGTTCACTTTCAATATGATACCATCCTTCAGTGCAATTATCAATCTGATGGGTAGTCTTCAACGGGTCTGTTAGTCCCAAGGCACGAGTAGCAAATGTTGCACAGCTTTCTTCAATGTTATCTGTAGTTCCCCCTACCTGACAGAAGTCGACATCATCTAGAGAACAATCAATAAGCCAGAATTTTAAAAAGACATATAAATGCACCAAAGTATATATATATATATATATATCTACTGGAATATATGTTACAAAATGATAATGATCCTCATGAAGGTCCTGAAGTCATAAATACACTCCTGCTAATAAACACTGTACTTGCAAACTTCAACAACAAACATGGTCAATCATTCTATTGTGCTATGGATCTCCATTGATAGGAATAGCATTTCAGATTAAACAACGCAATCTTAATACACATTACACAAAAAAAACCAACAAAAAAAAAAAAAAAAAAAAAACCAAAACACAAGGCACAAATAAAATTTTGAAATTAAAAAAAAATATATATATATATATATTCATTATAGTATTCATTTAAAACCATACCGTATACAATATTTGATCTCACATAAATTTCTAAACCTACCCATAATAAGGATTTTAAGGGGGGAAGAGAGAGAGAGTCGATTTAAGTGGAGTTGGTTTCAGAAGATAATGAGAATTTTTTTTTTTTTTTTGGTGTTGGGGTGGAGGGGGAGTATAGAATGAAACACAGAAAGAAAGGGGGAAAAAATAGGAAGAGAAAAGCATAATAACTAATGTGATAAATTAGACGATGCGATCATAAATATATAAATCAACTAAGGAATGGCGCAGACAATTTGTAAAACGCTGTTTTCCAAAAATACCACTCAAGCAACTTTGTTCGTGTAGGATCAAAACAATACGAGAAATAATTGGATCGTTTTACATACAGATGTACCCGCAGGCTTGTCTAGTACCACATAGGATTCAGATACAGCTATAATTCTTGATCTCCAATCAATTTCGTAGCACCTGGTATAAATATAAATGTCAACAGACACCATACTTCTCCATAAAAAGCAGTAAACAGCTATTTGGAATTGGTTAACCATTACCTCGGGAAGCGTTTTGGGTGTACATGCACTCGTAGGTATGTTCCATCTTCAACAACTTCATCAACATGAGTTATCCGGAAAGTTTTCTGTGCTTCTCGTACAGTTTTTCCTTTAATGGAAGATCTCTTTTTGAGAACTGATGGAGCAGTAACTTCTTTATATACCCTAATTTGCTCTGGAGTAGCACTTGGAGGAGGCTTTGGACATACAAGGGCATAATATACAGCTCCAAAATGAATGAGATCTGCAACAAACCTTCAACGATGAAATTTAACATTTTACCACATCATTCTAGCCATATGTGAATAAACAGAACAACGAAAGACACTGTGCCAGTTCACTAAGTAAGGATAATAAGAAAACGAAAAGAAAGCACTCACGGAGGAGGAAGATCCAAAGCTTTACTAATGTATTCATGAACTGGCCCTCCTTCCATGACAACTAAATGTTCCACTCTTGGTGGGCCATTTTGTGAGGGGCAAGGAAGCAAGCTACGATATTCAGGATAGCTGAAAGAAAATTATGTCCAATGATCAACAGGACAAAATATTAGGCTCTAGGACTTAAAATGTTAAATAAAGAAATCATGTAACAATTTTCATATTAACACAGCAGATAGCTGGATGAGCTCAAATGGGCATTAGAAGATAAACAATTATCTCTCGACCCTTCATTTTACTTGCCCAAAAAAAACTATATCAGTGGTGAAATGATGCTGAAGAAAATTTAAGATCATGATATAGCAAAGATTCCCTTCATATGAACTATTTTTTCCCTGAATCCTTTATACGAAGTTGTATACCTGATTAATTGGCATCCATAAGATACTAAGAACCTAAATAAATAATTATATCTGGCATTCAAAAAGATTCTGAGAGTCCAAATAAATAGCATGTGGGTGCACTTCTTCATCGGAGCTACTGTTTGTTTGGAAAATGAATTTATTTTTGTTGGTAAGTCACTACCTTAAAGTGTCTTCTTGAAGCATTTAAATTTATTTTATTCTTATGTAGTGTGATTTAGCTAGAGAGGTTTAGTTCGAGAAGGAAATTTGTCCTACATTGTTACGAATATCTATGAACCGCATTCCCACCAAACCCTGCCTATAACTTTTGGTTCCATTCAGACTGAATGATTTAGGCTAGGACAAGATGCATAAATAAATTTGTGAACCTTGTATGTGTGGATTTTAAATAACAACACAAAAGTAGGTATTTGAGTTCAATGCAATAAAGATTTAATTGCACAAGGATTCAAATTAACAAATCTCCCAAACCTCTAATCTAACATTTCCTTTGGACCTCTAAAGGTAACTCCAGTAGCCAATATTTTATTTATACTCAAGTATCTTCATCTCAAATCCATGCATCCATCAAAATGTACCATTGGAATTTACGCCCAATCTATTTAAAGATAAAATGGTCAAATTTTTCTAAAATATAAAAAATAAATAAAACTAAATACATTATACAGAACTAATTTATATACCAAGTCTTTAATGAGAAAAGTAACATCATCAGCTAGAGTAGACGCCTAGGGTCTCCTACCTTCATATGAATGGTGATGGAACAATTAAAAAAGAAAATATTTATAATGCAGGCTTCAATAATCACGACCATCAATTAGTAAGCAATATGACCTAGATAAATCACACTACAAAAATCTTATGATAAATTACCGAAAATAAAAAATAACTAAGTATATGAAATAAAGATTACACATCAGTTGAAGAAGTATTGGGTGTGGGGAGAACGTCTGAGGAAACAGAGGATTGAGAGATGAACGTTCTGGCTTTGTTGATAGAATTCCACCTGAGGTTTTTGTGGTGATTCTTGAGGGCACTGGAATATGCTAACGTGCGCGCGAGGGCGACAGGGGTGACGAAGCTCCGGCGATTCGACGTCCATAGCAGCGACGAGACCAAACCGTTGGTGAAGACTGAAGCCAAACCGGCGGCACAACAAATAGTCATTTTTTTTTTGGGTTTATCGGATGCCTACCTCCGGATAGAAAAAGAAAGGGGTTTAACCGTTTAAGTGCGTAACCCAGTTAACCTTGAGAATGGCCGGACTCAAATAAGATATTTATTTGGATTAACCCAGTTTACCATAGAAATGGGCCGGACTCCAACAAGATATTTATTGGGCTTAACCCAGTTTACCTTGAGAATGGACCGGACTCAAACAAGATATTTAAATTAAGAACTTTTTTTGTTTCTCCCTTCAAAGTAGAGAAGATACTTCTAGTTCCATAAATTAATTTGACTTGCAACTATCTCAAAGAAATTGTGGATCGACCTTACCACTTATTACGGATGAAATCCAAGTGTTTGACTGACTAGTCATTTTGCAAAAATATGTTTTTTTTTTTTTTTTTAAAAAAATAAAAATAAAAAATTAAGCAATGTATAAATAGGTCAACTTTATTCATGATTTGTTCCTTTTTAGTACCTTCATTAAAGGATAAATGGGCTTATGAATTAATTAAATTTTGATCCAAATTTAATTTGATTTATCTTATGTAAAATGAAATGCTTGATGATTAATTACATCTAATTATTTGATTAGTTGTATTAAGGAAAGTGTGTTTCGAAACATTTTTCAACTTTTGGAGATCCAAAGCCACAAACAGGTGCAATGCCCTCTCATCTAAATAAGTCGAATTTATAACAGATTTAACATAATCCAAGTTCAATTAGTATTGAATTATTATTATTTTCTCTATGACTAGAAACTCACACATCCATTCATCTTTAAAGGCTCGAACTTTCTCTTCCTCCGAAAAGTTAAGGAGGAACTACCGAGTTACGTCATTAATAATATATATTGTTTAATTATAACATATAAATAAGTGTCAATGTAGCATGAACACGAGACATGGACATGATACGGATACATTAGCACGCCAAATTTTTAAAAAGTAGGACACGGCTATATAAATATGAATTTTTATTTTTATATATGTATTGAGTAATAGATTATAAATCTTTAATTTATTTGTAATTTTTATAGTAAGAGTTGCAATGACTTTTATATCATATATATACAGAATTCCACTACTTTATCATAATAGTGTTTTTATTTTAAATGAACAAATACCATTTAATATTTCTCTTGTGATCATATGTGTATAATGTCAATTTTTCTTAAAGAAAAAAAGTTGAACACTTAATAATGTGTTCATATTATTTTCAAAATTACCGAATAAGTTTGTTTTAGAAATATTTGAAAGTATCCAAGAAGTGTCAGCGAAGTGTCTAAAAGTGTAAAAATTTATTTTTATTTACGGACACGTATATAATATTTTCCCTATTAATTAGGAGCCATGGGCATATATGTTTGTTCTGAGATATACGTAAATACATTAATTCTATTTGGAAAAGTTAGATCTAGCTATATTCAATTTGATTCCCCTTACATATGTTATTTATTGAACAAATTAATCACGTTAAATAGTGACTTATTAAGAGAAATTATTACATGGTCTGAGAATTTCAACCGATCACAAGCACAAACTAACGAAAATGCATGAAAAGGTTGATGATGTTATCCCTAGAGCCCAAAACATTGGAGAAGTTTTGTAACACCCCCACATTTTCCACGCATAAGTTGATCAGGCTTATACACGAAAAACGAGGGATATCAAAAACAATTGGCAATATACAAGCATGGAATACAAAATGATGGAAATAAAAGAATTTAGACAGGAAAGAAACATTAAATAATACAACATCCATCCATCCTTTATTTAATACAGTACTTCATTACAACTTGGAAATCCTACGTCAGGGATCCCTAAATATAACCCTGAGAGTTCAACGTCAAAAGTAAATAAAAACTGAAACTGAAATACTACATAAAACTTCTACCCTGCACTGGATCGTAGGAGTAGATGAGTTCGGATGATGGTCCCACACTGCTAACCTCAGCCTTGAAACGGATACTGACCGTATCCTGAAATAACAACAATGGTGGGTCAACCCCACGAGCAAGTCCTCTCTACTATGACCCAAATCAGAGAATCCAATAAATTAATCATTATGAATCGGATGAGTACTATATCTGTATACATCCTATGGGAACTATCCGATGTATAACATGACCTCAACCAGAATAGACGGTGATCACTTAGACTCACACTAGGTGGTTAAGTGTCGCCTTTCCCTACCCGGGAAATCAGCTATTATACATGGTGCACGGTACTGACAACACAGACTATAACGAACTACACAGTGATAACACCTCGCAAAGTACTGATGAATATACTGAGCATATAAATTAGGCAACACATGCCAACAATATTAAGAAATATACCGAGTATGTCAATTAGGCAACACATGCCAATAATATTAAACCACATACCCCGACAGCCACACATCTGTCTATCGCAACGAATGCATAAGGTATAAATGAGTCTAAACTTATTAGCCAGCTCATATGGTTCTATATGGCAACACATCCATATAATATAAATGCGACATAATTAAACAGTCCATTTATTTCCTGAAATGCACACAGCATAATGATCATGGTTTATATATCAATTAACAGTATAAACATCCCATAAGATATCATGGATAATTTATCTGACTACAACCATGGCCTTATTTAATTTATGAGTAATGGTTGATACCATTTAACAAGATAATAACACTATTTATATTTAACAATGTCGTTAAATAAATCACATTATTATCTATACTGTGAACGAGCCAATAAATGCTTAGAAAAGATTAATCGGCCATAAGAATAAGTAACGGGTATTAAAATAATAATTTCGTGGCCCGTTAAACCCGCAAATACCAACTCAGTACTTAAAAATCCAAGTTTAAGGTTCTGGAATTTACAAAACAGGCCCTAGGGGTATTCTGGTAATTTTTAATAGCTGTAAAGACCCCACACGCGCCCTCACGCGCCTCCCAGAGCCTCCCCACGCGCAGCCCAACCTTCCCAACTCTCCCACGCGCCTCCACGCGCGTCTGGCATCAGCCACGCGCGCGCACGCGCTCCCACGCGCGTCTGGAGAGTTCCACGCGCGCGCACGCGCTGCCACGCGCCCACCAATGGTACCTTGCTGACGCGGCGGCTCCTGATTCGGTGGTTGCATCATCCTACTATGGGTGCGCTACACTGAATCATCTCACCCTCTCATCACTCAATCCTGTGCTCATAGATCCGGGTGTACCGCGGTAGCATGGACCGCGATGCACCGGATCAATCAGACCCTACCAATGGCCAGGATGCACGCGCGCACTAACCTACCATGCGCCGCATCACACCGGATCACTCTGGTCATCTTCTTCACTGCCGGTGGCCGGAATCTTCGCCGGAGGTTCGCCGGAAATTGCAGAAAAGCCCCGGAAAAATCTAGAAAATTCTAGAAAAATCCCTAAAGCCTTATTTAATTATTTTCGGCCATTATTAATTTCATAGGATATTAAATAAATATATACCATCCTATATAATTAAAATTTCATTAATTTAATAAACTAAAATCCCTAATTTATTTAACTCCTTACATGGTCTCTATGCTCTAAAATAATATCAATAAACTAAACAATTAATTTATAAATTCAAAGGGGAAAAATAGATAATAACTTGCCTTTTTGGATTTAAAATAAATCCGCCGGTCTGCGCGTAGTCAGGTAAAATCGCCTACACCGGTCCAAGCTTCTTTCTCTTTCTCTTTTCCTTTCACTCTTATAAAATAGCTCACTAGAATTTATACTTTGCTTCTAACTCCCTTTCTTTTCTTCTAAGGTAAGCTAGTTAATTTATATACAAAATATATAATATAAATATTACAAATATCTAATTTTTTTCATCTACTAACCATCTTCCCAACCATATGGCTTCAAGTCCACCCATAAACATTGATGAAATCCTATTCTAATCTCTAATTCCATCATGACATTGGTTTAATACTATTATTATTATTATAACTATTATTATTATTAATAAACTTTTATAATTATTATTATAATATTATTATTATTATTATATTATTAAACTATTATTATTATTATTATAATTTTACATAAGAATACATTATATCATCATAATACTTTATAACACAAATATAATACTTTAATTAACTAATAATGCTTAATTAAACATAATCAACAAATAAAATTAATTACAATAATACATGCACAATTAAATGAATAAATTTACTATTTTAACATACACAATTAATTTACATGCACCATTAAATGAACTTAATATAACAATGCAGTATGCACAATAATAGGTAAAGGAATCCACACATAATTGAATTTACATAACTAAACTCTTTAATAAATTACGGGGTATTACATTCTCCCCCCCGAATAACGGAATTTCGTCCCCGAAATTCACTACATACCCGTATTAAAGAGCTCTGGATACTTGGCACGGATAATATCTTCCCGTTCCCAAGTAGACTCTGTAGCACTATGATGACTCCACTGTACACGTACTAATGGAATAGTCTTCGTGCGCAGTATCTGATTCCTACGATCGAGAATACAGTAAGGTTGTTCCAAATAGGTTGCATCGGGTTGCAACTCAATCTCACCCACATCAATGTGTTGGTATCGATCTTCTTCCCGTAGAAATTTTCGCAGCATAGATACATGAAAAACATTATGTACCCTATGAAGATTATCTGGTAGAGCCAGACGATAAGCTACTGCCCCAATCCGATCTGTAATCATAAAAGGACCCACAAAACGAGGCGATAACTTACCCTTTGACCCAAACCGCATTACTCCCTTCAGGGGAGAAACCTTAAGCAAAACCTGATCACCAACCTTAAACTCCAAAGCACGAGTTCGACGGTCAGCATAACTTTTCTGTCTGCTTTGAGCTGTACGCATCCGATCGGATAGTTCCCATAGGATGTATACAGATATAGTACTCATCCGATTCATAATGATTAATTTATTGGATTCTCTGATTTGGGTCATAGTAGAGAGGACTTGCTCGTGGGGTTGACCCACCATTGTTGTTATTTCAGGATACGGTCAGTATCCGTTTCAAGGCTGAGGTTAGCAGTGTGGGACCATCATCCGAACTCATCTACGCCTACGATCCAGTGCAGGGTAGAAGTTTTATGTAGTATTTCAGTTTCAGTTTTTATTTACTTTTGACGTTGAACTCTCAGGGTTATATTTAGGGATCCCTGACGTAGGATTTCCAAGTTGTAATGAAGTACTGTATTAAATAAAGGATGGATGGATGTTGTATTATTTAATGTTTCTTTCCTGTCTAAATTCTTTTATTTCCATCATTTTGTATTCCATGCTTGTATATTGCCAATTGTTTTTGATATCCCTCGTTTTTCGTGTATAAGCCTGATCAACTTATGCGTGGAAAATGTGGGGGTGTTACAAGTTTGGTCTTCCCCGAGATAATCATGATCTCAATACAAGCCCCTTTCCTTGAAGAATTTTCCTAGTAGTTTATTTCATATATACAGAATTCCACTACTTTTATCATAATAGTGTTTTTATTTTAAATGAACAAATACCATTTAATATTTCTCTTGTAATCATATGTGTATAGTATCAATTTTTCTTAAAGAAAAAAAGTTGAACACTTAATAATGTGTTCACATTATTTTCAAGATTACCGGATAAGTTTGTTTTACAAATATTTGAAAGTGTCAATTTAAGTATCCAAGAAGTGTCAGCGTAGTGTCTAAAAGTGCCAAGAAAATGTACAAAATAACAAAAATTTATTTTTATTTACGAACACATGTATGATATTTTTCCTATTAATTAGGAGCCATGGGCATAAATGTTTGGTCTGAGATATACATAAGTACATTGATTCTATTTGGAAAAGTGAGATCTAGGTATATTCAATTTGATTCCCCTTACATATGTTATTTATTGAGAAGATTAATCACATTGAATAATGACTTATTAAGAGAAATTATTACATGGTCAGAGAATTCCGACCGATCACAAGAACAAACTAACGAAAATGCATGAAAAGGTTGATGATGTTATCCCTAGAGCCCAAAACACTGGAGAAGTTTGGTCTTCCCCAAGATAATCATGATCTCAATACAACCTCCAAACAAGACTCTTGCACAGGATCTGGCAATGGGTGAACTCCCAAGTCTGGCTCCAAACCATCCTAAAGCTAACATGGACAAAGAAGCTACAATAAATAAAACCAGAAACCTCACTTTTAGACTAGTTATAAACCCCGCAGCTAGTAGTGGCACTACCCCTCCGACTACATATGCGGCTGAAGCTGCCATTGCTATCTGAGTCGGACTCGGCACCGGCCCTCTAAGAAACGCTCCACCTCTTCTTCCCCTTCTCAGGTCTCTCTTTGTTTGAAAATTCATTACATCAACTTGAGTATAGACAGACACAATCTCCGCCGTTGCCATACTCATAGCCCCGGCAAATAGCCCGGCCAGGCCAGTGATGATCAAAGCCTTCGTTTCATGCCCAAACCTTCCCGCTCCTATCACCAACAATGCAGTGGACACCAACCCTTCATTGCCTCCGAGGACGACCGCGCGAAGCCATTGTCCCCTTTGTGAGTAATCAAAATGCTCAGAATGCTTCCCACCAACCTCCTCTTGTTGGTTTCGCTCAACGTTGCAGTACTCACGTGAAGAAGGAGCCACCACAACTTCCATTATGGAAGAAAACTAAATAATTTTGTTATATATGTCTAAATGTCTTATGATATATGTGAGTAAATAATTTTGTACGTAGAGAGGTAGCTAATACTATTAATTGGGGGAGGTATATATAGAGGAAGTTGTGATCATAGATAGTGATAGAGGTACCTAATATATACATGCCGACATCACATTAATTATTTAATTTTTGTCTTCAACTAAATTTGGAAACTTTTGGACTATGGTAGGTACTTGGTACTGATGGACATAGAACCGAAAGAGGGAAGAAATAGTAATGAACAGTTCTATACGTAAACTGTTCTACAAGTGATATCGTATATGTACCATTCATTTTATACATTACTATAAAATAGACAGACAGTATACGATCTGTGTATTTTATGTTAACTACAGTTGGGTGAATTTTGACTTTTAGATACTGAGAGACCATTGGCAATAACAAAGGGTTAGGCCAGTGACAAGACTAAGGAAAATGAGAATCGGTTTGGAATTGCTTCTCAACCACTTAAAGTATTTTTATCTTAAAAATGTGTATTATATTTAGATGTATTTGATAACTAATTAACGGCACTTTAAACGGTTTTGAATTTTAAATTATTACAACTTTTGAATGAAATTAAAATTTATACTGTAACTTTTTAAACTCTATTTTGAGTTAAGATAATTTCATCTCTTCTTTTATGAATTCGTGATATAACAAATTGATAAGTATAACCCCAACCCATATATGAACCATCCATAACCACATTGATTGGTAAAATTGATCTAGCTTTAATTTAGGATATTCATTATTTACCTTTGTTAGATTTGTAATGCAACTTCAAAAGTACTTTCCTAAACCAGTCTCAAACCCACTCCATTCACTAAACGATTTTAGGTGATCGAAGATGGAAAAGATATGCTAAACAATTTTAGGCGATCGAAGATGGGAGAGCTATGATAACCGGGAGTCAAGATGGGGTTAGGGTCTCCCATCTCAAACCCGCCATTGTTATCCTAATTAGGATAAAACCTACCAAATAAAATTGAAAAGTCACGATCCAAAAGTAAACGATAATATTATCAATTAGACATCAAATTGATAAGTATAATTTCAACTCATAAACTATCCATAATCACATTGTAATCTAATAATGATATATATATATATATATATATATATATATATATATATATATATATATATAATGTATAAGGCCACAAAATAAATCTTATTTAAAAAAAATTCCAACAGCCAAATCCGCACCCACTCCATTGGATGATGTGGATGGGAGGGCTTTGAATTCCCGGTTCAAAATTTTCGACCAAAAGGGTCACAGTCTTCCAATTTTGTGATGAGATCTCAAGGCAAAGGATGAAGCTTGAAGTGTTTCATCTTCATAGCTATTTCCTTTATTGGTGGTCTAAATGAATTAATCTAAACATTTCCTTTCTTTTCACGTGCATTGGTAACGTGGTTTAATAAATTAAACTGTCCTCCTATCATTTTCCTACATATGTGTGTATCTTTGTGTTGGTGTGTCCACAACAAACGTAGTACTACAATGCATGTGTGCTACTTCTGACATTAATTTGAGGGGTCGACCATTAGTTCTGTCCAATTAAATAGTTGTCAAATATAGTTCATGAACATCATTTTTAGTAGTAGTGAAACAAGTGGAGGGAGCTGAAACAAGTGGAGCGAGCTGGCTTTGTTGTTGATATATATATATATATATATATGAGTTTAAATACGTTGGTAAAATTGATCTAACTTTAATTTAAGACATTCTTATTGTATGATAATTATATATATATGAGTTTAAATACGTTGGTAAAATTGATCTAACTTTAATTTAGGACATTCTTATTGTATGATAATTAATCTATGATATGAACACACTATCACATAATTAAACTTGTTCAAATTCTCTGATCAACCCATTCATTACTATCTATCCTTAATTGCGACACAATTCAACAAGTTGGTCAAGCCTTGTGATCTAATAATGTAGGATATATACCAATATGGTGATGATGATAGTACTACATAAAGAGTAATCTTACGGACAGGCTTAATCAAAACCGAGTTAAATTTAGTTATAATAACATTATAACATAGGCTTTCTAGTTTGGTTCCCCTTAAATTCTTGCTTCATTTCTGAGACAGTGATTTTTATTTTCAAATAATTTAAATAAGGGAATTTAATTGGTTGATATTTTTTTAATAACTTGGTTTTAAAAATAAAAAAATAAAAAACAAAAACAAAAACAAAAACAAAAAAAGAAAAGAAAAAAGAACTTACTGTCGCTTTAAATTTATTTATGTTTTTTTTTTCAAAAATCTTTAATAAATCTTCCAAAATTTGAACAAAAAAATACTAGAATTTTTCAATTTCTTTTATAATATTAACAATGACCTTCTCTTAAGTTTGAACAAATAACATATAAGTAGACTATTCAACGTTTAATAAAATGATATCTCTCGAAATTTGGCGTGCGTGCTCTGTAATACTCTTTATCATTTTTATTCCGACAAATCTGTTGTTCAAATTTTATCTTTTATTGATACAAAATGTAATATAATATGTTATTATAATATAAGACTATTTTTACATTCTAAATTATTTTTCAACCGGCAATTAACAAATTTAAGAGAAGTAAAAATAATAGACGATTTAATAGTATATAATTTATTCAAATTTTCGGGGAGGTAAGCCTAATTTATCCCTTTCTTACCTATTATTTTTCTTTTGTACATTTTTTGTTTTTTTTTTTTAGTTTTTCTTTTATACGGAGTACTTGTTAGCAAGCTGGCTGGCGTAGCCAAAAAGATGTCAGGTACGGAAAAACAGCTGTCAGTGGCCCATGAACCACAGTGATCCAAATGTCAAACTCCAACTACATTACAGGAGTTTGTCGCTAAAGTGGTAAGATAATAAAATAATAATAATAATAAATAATGCGTGAATATTATTTGAGATTTGACATTGTGTGTTGGTAGATTGTCTAATTTTTCGTACCAAGTGTCGGGCGCAAATCACCAGCCGTGTAGTGCGTGAATATTATTTGTAATTTTCTTATAGTAAGTAATAGAGTTAATTTAACGTACACTCTCTGACCTTTGTTAATATTCATAATTCTAACCATCTCCCATGAGGTTTTGATTTGGATAATAAATCGCCCCCTGCCGTTAAGTAACTCACGGCGTGTGGTGATGTCATCAAGAAAAATTTGATGCAAGGTCAATTTTGCCCTTTTAATATCTTAAATAACATCTTCAACCTCATTGACCAACATAGATTTACAAAACTACCATTGAATAATCAAAGGTGGCAGTGGAGCGGCAGCAGCACCATCACCACCACCACCGATTTGACGTCTCTATTTCGCCGTTTGCAAGCTTGCCCTCTCTCTCTATAACTGCAACTTACAAAATCTACAAGAATCAGAATCAATATATATATATATATAGAATTTTACGGCAAATCATTTCAGCCTCCCCAATCGCCTCCATCTCTATTCTCGTTCTCAACTCTGAACTTACCCTCTCTCTGCAACTGCAACATACAAAATCTACAAGAATCAGAATCAATATATATATATAAATATAATTTTAGGGCAAATCTCTGAACTTGCCTTTTCTCTCTGCAACTGCAACCTACAAAATCTACAATAATCAGAATCAATATATATATATATATAAATAATTTTAGGGCAAATCATTTCAGCCACCGTTCGCAAGCTTGCCCTCTCTCTGTGCAACTGCAACCTACAAAATCTACAAGAATCAGAATCAATATATATATATATATATATATATATATATATATATATATATATAATTTTAGGGCCTCCCCAATCGTCTTCATCTCTATTCTCGTTCTTAACTTTGAACTTACCCTCTCTCTGCAACTGCAAACTACAAATCTACAAGAATCAGAAGTTCAAAACCCATATATTTCAGTTAATCTATCTGTCGGCAAGAATCAAAAGTTCAAAACCTATTACATATATCAAAACCCATATCGGCAGATCATTTCAGATTGTTCAAAAAATCAAAACCCATATCTATCAGTTTCCATCGTCCGCTTTTCCAGTTCGGTTCGCCGTTCGCAAGGATAAAGGGCTGTGAGGTTGGGTTTGTTTGGGTATTGGGTTGTGTTCGGTGTTGATCGACGACGTGGAGGGCAGTCGAACTGTGCATGTCGATCGCGCATGGAAGCTCCAATTGCCAACGAGCATGCCGATGCCATTGACGGAGCAATTGCGGATGTAGATGGAGAAGAAGGCAATCTGTGTCACCGACCAGTGGTCGAGTCGAAAAAAGAGGATGAACACGAAGACACCATCAGGACGACGATGATTAAAGGGTAGTTTAGACCTTTTAGTTTCAAATACATTTTATTATAAATATTAATATATAATTCATGGGCAATCTAGTAAAATCATATATTTCCGTTAGTAAAGTGGACGGCCGTCACTGACAAGGGGTGTAGGTGGAATTATGAAACGTAGAGGGGGTGTAAGTGGAATATTGGCAAACGTCAGGGGGTGTAGGTGGAATTAACCCTAAGTAATAAGTGGTCTTAATTTGGCCACGTTTTACTCTACTTAATAGATACTAAGACTGTGTTTGACAATTACACTACTATTTATAAGTAACATTTCACCACCATTTTTAAGTAACGTCACAAAAGTCTAAAAGTAATATCACATAGTCTAAAAAGTAACATCACCACCATTTATAAGTATCTTTCACTTTCAAAACGTGGTGATGTTACTTTTTAAACTATGTGATATTACTTTTAGACTTTTGTGATGTTACTTATAAATGGTTGTGATGTTACTTTTTAGACTATTTTTACATTTCACCACCATTTATAAGTAACATCAAAGAGTCTAAAGAGTAACATCACCATTTGTAAAAGGAAATATCACCACTTTTAATTTCAAATAATAACATAAATGATATGTTGAATTGAGTTATATTTATATGTAATATTACTTTTTAGACTATGTGATGTTACTTATAAATGGTGGTGAAATGTTACTTATAAATAGTGGTGTAATTGACCAAACACGGCTTTAGTATCCGTTAGCTGAAGAATGATGTGGCCAAATATGGACCACTTAAAAGTTACAGCAGGAAACTGCATGGGAGCCTCACTACAGGTGATTCGCGCCCCCGAGTGTCGTGTTTGAATTCTTCACTCTTAATTTGTTTAGAATAAAAATTAATTAATTTGAGTGACACTTCTTTAAATTTGGCTAAATATTACATAAAAATAACTTTAAAAATTACTATCACATAGATCTAAATTTATTTTTTCATCACTAACACAATTAAAAAGTACAAAAAAAAAAATAAAATAAATAAAATAAAGACAAGACAAAACTTAAACGAACAAAATCATTAATTTCTCACTCTAATGTATATATAAGCTTCATCTTACGATATGTGGCCTTCTAGTGACGACGACAACGTGCAGTTGATTCGATGATGGCAATGGTGAGCAAATTACTCCGATGACGACCAACGAACGAGTACTCCAAAGATGACGAAGTGAAGACCAGTGACGATGACGACCACCACCACCACCACTACCCCTCCTTATCCTACAAAACCCTAGAAAAAATCCATACCAAAAAAAATAAAATAAAATTGGATTTGATATTGGCGCGCACTTTGCAAAATCTCGGTGTTCTTTACATAATCACTTACAACAAGGGTATATTTCATCTTTCTTCGTTTTGCCTCTCGGCTTAAAACGATGATGGATATGGATTTTATGATCTTTTTTATGTTCTTTGTTCACCTTGTCTATTTAGCTCTCTTAAAAATAAAATAAAAAATAAAAAAGAGTATTAGCTTTGATACCAAGTGAATGATACTTGCAAAAAATTGAGTGGAATCCCAACGGTGAAGGACCTAGAGAGAGTGTTTAGGTCTGTTTTGTTTGAATGTTGATTGAGTACTAAAACTAATTGATTATTAATTTCTTATATATATATATACACACACACATACACGCATACAAGTACAAAAAATACCCCTAAAGTATACTCTACGTAGCATTTTTAGTCCCTATTTGAAAAAGCGTGTAAAAAATATCCATAATCTTTTCACATTGTGTAAAAATACCCCATTTGACATAAATTAGTGTATAATACCTATTTTGCCTTTTTACTCTTCTAAAAATGCCCAAGGGGTATATATGCTACTAATATCATAATATAAGGGTATTATGTGCATATTGTCGTTTTTTTTTTTTTTTTTTTTGGAACTTTTTTCTCTATATATATCTCAATTTTTTTTTTTTATTTATTTATTTATTTTTTAAACGTTGACAATTTGTAGAATAAAGATTTGAATTTTTTGAGATTTTAGTTTACTATTTTCTACTAAATTTTTTTTTTTTTTTTGTACCAAAACTGTTAAACAAAATAAATAAAAAAATTCCAATATCAGTGTGCACTGATTGTTGGAGTTTAGAGCAGATTTATTTTCTTTATTTTGCGCTTTATTTTTGTTTTTTTATTTTCTATTTTTATCTTTACTTTTCTTTTATTTTTATTTTTTATTTTTATCTTTACTTATCCATTTCCGACGTCCTTCCAATAATGTCCTTTTCGGTCATTTTAAAAGAGTATTTATTTTAAATATTTTATAAAATGGTTCAGTAAGTGTAATTTAATCAATTTAGGGTTTAAAATTTTCAGAGGGGCCTATTTGCACCAAATTGAAACTTTATGGGTGTTTTTTGCAAGTGAGGGGCGTCCTCCAATAGTGTGTCCTTTTCAGTCATTTTACAAATTATTTATTTTATATTTTTTATAAAATGGTCTCATAAGGGTAATTTAGTCAACTTAAAATTTAAATTTGTCAGAGCGATCTATTTGCACCAAATTGAAACTTTAGGAGTATTTTTTGCACGTGAGGGATGTGATATGCATTGTAAGCATACTTTAAGGTTATTTTCCGCACTTAACCCCGTATGTGTGTGTGTGTGTAACAATTAAGCACCAACTCTCACAATTCTTTGTATATGCTTCGACTTTCAAAGCTCTCTGTGTATATCTTTTTCTTGAAACTCAGTGATCAATTTTTCTTGCTCAAGCTTATAAAAGACCCACATTAAGCTTTATTATACAGGAAAGCTCTCATACGGTCTAAAACAACGGATTTTTCAATGGACCAAAAGTCAATTAGGAAAATTACACTTTATTACTTTATCAAACCTAACCATAGTTAATTTACTATAGTTAGCTAATACCTTTATTCAATCTCTCTCTCCTTAATCTTTTCCATCCTCTTTGCAATCTCAATCACTACTGCCGTATCTACACCATCACAGCCACCATCTTCACCACCATAGCCACAACACAACTACCATATTCAATTCGATCATTCTCCAAAATTCGATCCAAAAATAAAAAAAATAAAAAAATAAAAAATAAAAAAACAACATTTTTTCACAATGTGTGGAATAATGGGTCAACGAAGAAAAAAATAAAAAATAAAAAAGAGAGCAACAGTCAGGCCATCAAGGGGAAAAAAAATTAAAAAATAAAAAAAAATCAAAGTGCAAAAAAAAGAAAGAAAAAGAGAGAGTGACCTAGATCCGGTTTTGGAGAATGAATATGGTAGTTGTGTTGTGGCTGTGGTGGTGAAGATGGTGGCTGTGATGGTGTGGATATGACGGTAATGATTGAGATTGCAAGGAGAATGGAAGAGATTAAAGAAAGAGATATTGAATAAAGATATTGGCTAATTATAGTAAATTAACAATTTTCCTAATTGACTTTTGGTCCATTGAAAAATCCGTTATTTTGGACCGCGTAAGAGCCTTCCAGTATATATAGAGAGAGACACACACACACTAAAGTTAAAAAAGAAGAAGAAGAAGAAGAAAGTATAAAACTAAAAAGGAAAAATAGAATCTTGCATTCTGAAACATGTACAAGGAAGACAATTGAAACCCTTTGATTACTGTTGATCTTATCTATAAAAACCAATCGTAGACATTAGATAAGATATCAAGATGATGGGCAGCCACGTAACCTTTACCAAAGCAAATTGTAAATTATCAAAACATTTAGGGATAATTTAGTCTTTTCATATAATTATTTAAGTTAAAAATCTATTTTGACAAAGTCAAAGGGTATTTAAGTCATTTTAGATGGTGTAAGAGCTTTGCATATAGGACGGTTGGGGTGTGAGTGAAAGATGGAACAAACGTTTGTAATATAAGTGACAGTTATTTTCGAATGATCGGTATTTTAACGTGATATTTGGCCAAACCTAATAGGATGTCAGTAAAATTAATCCTTAAAATAAAAAATAATAATAATAATAAAAAGGTGGATGCACACATATTTTGCAAATTTGCATGTCTATTTGAATTTTTTATTCCACTAAATTCTAACAATTACTTTCTTAAAGATTTGAATTTCAATAGAAAATTTGAACTATTAAAACTATTTATGGTCCATTACTCTGTTACTTTATGAAATTGTAACAAATTTGGTGGAACCCTAATTTAGAACTATGGTCCATTACTTTAAGAATTTGTACTCACAATAATTTTTTTATATTTCGCATTATTCAGAAACTTTTTTCATATTAATGAAGTACCTAAGAAAACAAATGCGGCTCAAGTAAATTTTTTACCCTCAAAATTCAAATATCATTATTGGCAAGCCAAAAACTTTTGACTAGAGATGCACATGCAGGCTAGTGTAAGTCACCGTGTATTGAGTAAACACATTAATTGTACATTCAAACTCTGGCCATATACCTAAAATTAAGTTTTCATCATGAGTTTGAAGTAATGTGTACTCTCAAAAATTCAAATATCAAACCCAACCCTTTCTTTTCCCTCTGTAAATCAGCAGACACTTTTTCTTGCTTCCATCCAAACTTTCACTAGAAAATATCACACAGTAATGGTAAAAAATAAATATATATATCACATAGTAAAAGCTCATCTATCAGAGTGGTTAAAACCCAACTAAAACCCTATAACCATATATACAGCATCCGTACATACATTGAATATTTCTGATCAAAACATTGAATACAATCAGAGGGTAGATAAAACTCATTCAATCTCCACCTATGTCATCTTTATAAAGAGTGTTATCTATTTACCTAGCTCCCGCACTACTCCAAGTTCATTGCACTACAATGGAGTTGATAGACATTGTTATACTTTCTTTATGGTCTCTCTTTCTGACTCTGTGGTGGCGATACTGGTCAGTATCCGGCCGTGGAACGAAGCACCACCTCCCGCCGGGGCCACGGGGTTGGCCACTAGTGGGTAATTTGGTGCAAGTTATCCTCCAACGCCGGCACTTCATCTTTGTGGTACGTGATTTACGGGCTAAGTATGGCCCTATGTTCACCTTACAAATGGGCCAACGAACTCTAGTTATTGTAACAAGTTCTGAGCTCATCCATGAAGCCCTAGTTCAGAAGGGTCCTCTCTTTGCAAGTCGACCAGCAGACTCTCCCATCCGTCTTCTGTTCAGTGTCGGAAAATGTGCCATTAACTCGGCTGAACATGGCCCTCTCTGGCGTACCCTACGCCGGAACTTCGTCACCGAGTTGATAAACCCGATGAGAATCAAGCAGTGCAGTTGGATCCGGAAGTGGGCTATGGAAAACCATATGAAAAGACTCCGTAGTGAGGCTTTGGAGAAGGGTTTTGTGGAGGTGATGAACAACTGTAGGCTCACCATATGCAGCATCCTCATATGTTTATGCTTCGGTGCAAGAATCTCCGAAGACCGGATCAAGAACATCGAAAGCGTGCTCAAAGATGTTATGTTGATGACGACGCCGAAGCTTCCCGATTTCTTGCCGGTGCTTATGCCTTTGTTCGGCCGGCAACTGAAAGAAGCAAAAATATTGAGGAAAAAACAGTTGGAGTGTTTGGTTCCTCTAATAAGGAACAGAAAAGCGTTCATTGAAAGTGGTGGAAACCCTAGTGGGAACCCTAGCAGCGGTGATTCAGAGATGTTGAGCCCCGTTGGTGCAGCTTACATTGACTCGCTGTTCGAACTTGAACCAGCAGACCGGGGACGGTTAGGTGAAGAAGAACTGGTGACACTTGTCTCGGAGGTGATCAATGCCGGGACGGATACAAGTGCAACCACTGTTGAATGGGCTCTTCTTCACTTGGTAATGAACCAAGATATACAAGAAAAGTTATATAGAGAGATTGTTGATCATGTAGGAAAAGATGGTATTGTCACGGAAAGTGATGTGGAGAAAATGTGTTATCTTGGTGCAGTGGTGAAGGAAACTTTCCGGCGACACCCTCCAAGCCACTTCCTCTTATCACATGCCACCACTAAAGAGACGGAGCTCGGCGGGTACACCATACCACCGGACGTGAGCGTGGAGTTCTACACTGCATGGACGACTGAGGACCCGAGTGTGTGGAAGGATCCGGGTGAGTTCAGGCCGGAGAGGTTTCTGGACGGGGACGGGGTGGATGTGGACGTTACTGGGACTCGGGGAGTGAAGATGGTACCTTTTGGTGCCGGCCGGCGGATCTGTCCGGCGTTGACACTGGGTACGTTGCATGTCAATTTGTTGCTTGCAAAGATGGTTCATGCGTTCAAGTGGGTCCGGGTTCCAGACGCCCCACCCGACCCGACCGAGACATTTGCTTTCACTGTTGTGATGAAGAATCCTCTCAAAGCAGGTATTTTACCGAGGCAAAAGGATGAAGCTTGAAGTGTTGTCATCTTCATAGCAGTTTACTTGCTTGCTGGCATGAATTTACCTAAATATTTCCTTTCTTTTCTCGTGCAATAGTGAAGTAGTAGAATGCATAAAAAGTGTCCTTTAAATTTTACTATCTATATGTGTGTGTATTTTGCGTGCCCACAAACTTAGTATTAATTGTATCATTTATTAAGCTGTGAAGTGTCCCGTTTATTAATGTTATATATATATTGTGATTGGGATGGCATAAATAGCCAATAGATCAGCTTTTTTTTTTTTTTTTTTTAGACGTGTTGTACGCTTTGAAATAAAATGTTATCATATTATTGGAATTTTGTTTTGTGATATTTATACGGATGGCGAGGAAATATTAAGTTGGACAGACACATATTCATTGGCATAGCCAACTTATAAATATGCAACACTCAACGAAAAATTTCTCTTAACCACCTGCTATTTAATGAAAACAGACTTATACAATATCTTCTCATGATGGTCGTGGTACGTGGTAGCTATTTGCTAACGTGACAATCATGTTTTTTTTTTTTTTTTTGTTGGAAAGAGAAGAAAAGGGGAGGATTGTGTCCTTTTTATTGAAAGAAAAGGGAGTTTCAAAATATGTATATATTAATAAAAAAATCCTAATGATCGGTTTTTTTTTTTTTTTTTTTCCTTTTTCTTTTCGTTGGGAAATTCAAGCAATATACTGATTAATAATTTAATATGTACAACGATGGGCTGTACAAAGTCCAAAAGATACATAAAGCCCAACTAACACTATTGAGCTGAGACAATTAGGCCTAGGTAAACCCAAACTCATACTATACATTTAAATACTGAAGCCCTTAATCTCTTCACATGAAACGGCAAAAGGTTAGAAGAAAGAAGAGCACAAAACAAAACCAAAAACAAAAAAATTTAAGAAGAGATTCAATAGGTTATTACAAGTAAGAAACTCACAAAAAATAATTAATACAATATGTACAATTCTATAATTAAATCATAAAAAATTTACAAGCTCTTTGAAAACGTACTTCATACAATTAAAATATCAAATTACAAGTATGCATTCTAATTAGTAATTTGTATACTCCTTATTCCATTTAAGAGAAAGATAAAATGATTAATTTTACTGGCAATTCCTCAAGTTTGACTAAATATTATATTGAAATTTCTTTCGAAAATTATTATCACTTAAATCTATTTTTATTTTTTTGTCACTCACACAGTTAAAAACATACAAAAATACAAATTTGCCCTTAATTTTTTAATCCTATTTATTCCAAAATATGAGGTAAGTAAATTGGCCATTTTACCCCTACCATACTCTTTATGTGTATTCCATCCCCAACTTCACTGGACTACTATCTTTTGAATATCAAAGATATACAAAGCATATAAAAACTAAAAGATATATGGAGTATATAAAAAAAATTTACTTTTAAGCATAATTTCTTTGTACTAATAGAGCTCCCTAGCCTAAAGGCCTGTTTGGATCGCGATATGTTTTAGGTATTATGGTTTTAGTCAATACTAAAATAACCGTTTTGGTTTATGAGTGTTTTAGATAGAAATTGGAATAATGTTTGATAATGAATATATGTCATGAAAATTTTGAAAACAGAATCATGCAAAACACGTTTGGCATGTCTGAATGTTTCCAAAATTGTTGGAAAAAAAAAATAAATTACAAGTTTATATCAAAATTAGGTTAACATTATATTTTTCACTGCGGAAAAGATGAGAGAGAAAATTCAATACAATAGGCTTAAAAATATGATGCCATATTTAGAGCTTTCCATATTGGGGAAAAGATCAGAACCTACAAGGATCACTAGTGTACCGATAAAAGTCCAATAATAACAGATTTGATATTCATCGATCTTTTATTAATTATTCCTTTCATATTTCCTCCTGTGTGAGGTTGTTCTAATTTCGTGCACAAGTCCTATATATATGTTTCCTTATTGATCAGAACCCACAAGTAGGAGTGGCAATATTTGACACGACACGCTAACACGACACGAGATAAGCGGGTTAGGGTTTGGGTTAATCGTGTTCGTGTTATAATCGTGTCGACACGAATTGACCTGCTAACTAAACGTGTCGTATTCGTGTTTGGCCCTGTAAACACGATTATGACACGATTAACCTGATTAACTAAACATGTCAGATAAACGTATCGTGTTCGTGTCAAAAATGACCCATTTAGCAAAATATGTCGTATTCGTGTCGAAAATGACTTAAATATGTCTTTTCGTGTCGTGTCAAATCTTGACCCATTTATTAAACAAGTTATGTGTGTCGTGTCGTGTTACACGTATAATAATCATGTCGTGTTTGTGTCAAGGGTCATAGACACGATTAATAATTGTGTCGTGTTCGTGTCAACCCTAATCGTGTCCGTATCGTAATCGTGTCGACACGAACACGACACGCCAACATGAATTGCCACCCCTACCCACAAGTAATATGTATCAAAATTGTGCGAAGAAGAACATGTACGGATAAGCTCTTCCAAGATTTGCAAAGAAAAACCTCTAATCCTGGTCGCGAACAAGGAACTAAGGTGTCAGCTAATTTGCCTTTGAATCGCGTCACAACAACTTAGAGAACAAGATCGGAACGACAGCTATAACAAAGGTTTGCAAAAAAGGGGGAAAGATTTGTTGTCTCGAAAACACGAAAATAGGGTTTCTCGATTCGCTTCTTTGAATCGCTCTTTCAGCCGCTGCGTGAAGAGAAAGAAAATAGAGACTGAAGTGGTAGGATTTCCAAAAATAAGGCTTATATACCTATTTTCTTCACTACAGTAATCTTTTATGTGTTTGGACAGCTACAATGTCCAAAACAACTAATATCACCAATCTGTTGATATGGGTTTGGGCCTATATTTAGTATCTATTTTTATACTGTTGAATGTCATATCAGCCCACTCCAAACGTGATATGGACTCAAAATGTAATATCAAAACACCCAAAACAATACCAAATCCCATCCCAAACAGGCCCTAAAAGTGGCAATTGTGTGGGTTTGGGCTGGTCATGAATGAACAAGCCAGTATGGGGTTAATAACTCATTATCAGCCCATTTACAGTAGGTCATAAATGGGTTGAGTGTTAAATAAGTAAGTGAACCCACACCCAACCCGATGACCCAAATATTTTTAGACATAAATTGTCTAAGTTATTTTGATTATTGAATAAAAATAATAATAATAATTTGCAAGCGTTACAATTTCATTTTTCTTTTTTTCTGTTTATTTTTTTTTTGCTAAAAGCCACTACATAACTTACTGAACAATATTAATTATTTATATAATTAATATTGTTCAGTAAGTATATATATATATATATATATATATATAGAAAAAGAGTTTTAAGCAGAAATTTTAATTAATTTTTTGTCTGTTATGGATATGGGATCCACGTGATACATTTGTTGATGCAATCTTTGAACCTTGCATCATTGCTTGCATCATCAATGGCAATCCCTTGGGGTGGTGAGCAAGTTTGTTATCTCTGGAAGCTCATCCTTGAGCCTATATATGTATCATCATTGTTCTTCGAAAAATATAAAAGAGGCAGTAAATGAATTAGATTGCCTTGCTTTCTTTTATATATCTCTATTTATCTATCTTTATATATATGCTATTAAAGTATCTATAACATATAAAATTATAATACGTTATCAGCACGACGCTCTAACCCAATGAGACTTGAATAAGAAGCTTTATTTCCCTTTTTCTATCTCAAGTATATATCTCTCTTGTAATATTAGTTTTGATAGATTGTTAGGTTTGCTTGCTTTACTGAAGAAAATAGTATTTCTCACTTCAAAGGGCATGGATCTGACTAGTTCCAAAATAAATGATTAAGATATATGTTTTGCAGATAGTGGAACGACACACATAATCCTTCGAAATCGATTAAAAATATTTTTCTTACCAAACTTTGACAGATACTAATGTCACTACAATATCAGATCCCACCGACTTGATTGAAGGCTTCAGACGAGCCAACATTATTTTCCCACATGGAACAAGATCACAAATTAATGATGCCTTGTATTCTACAAGATTTCGAAGAAATCTGTTAAGTTTTAAAGACTTGCGTTGTAATGGGTACCATATTGAGACCGCAAATGAAAGAAATATGGAATATCTCTACATTACTTCCATTATCCCATGCAAGAAGCTAATACTAGAAAAACTCCATTTTTTCTCTTTTGGATTATACTATACAACCATTAGGACAACGTTAGATGTTGTGATACATAAAAAATCTTATGACCCAAATTTTTTTATGCTTTGGCACAATCGACTTGGTCACCCGGGGACTATAATGATGCATCGAATTATTCAAAATTCACATGGACACTCACTAAAGAATCATAAAATCATCTTATCAAATTATCATCTATATACCGCCTGCTCATAAAGCAAGTTGATTATTAGACCGCCCCCTTCAAAAGTCATTGTTTAATTTTCCACCTTTTTACAGCGAATTCACGGGGATATATGTGGGCTAATTCATCCACCATGTGGATCATTTCATTATTTTATGGTCTTAATTGATACTTCAACACGATAGTCACATGTTTATTTGCTTTCTACTCGTAATGTTACATTTGCTATGCTTCTTGCTCAAATCATCAAATTGTGGGCACACTTTCCTAATTATCCAATTAAGACAATCCATCTTGATAATGTCGTTGAATTTTCTTTTCAAACTTTTGATGACTATTGTATGTTAGTTAGAATTAATGTTGAACATCCTGTTGCACACACTTATATTCAAAATGGTTTGACAGAATCTTTTATTAAAAAAATTCAGTTAATTGGTCGTCTTTTGATTATGCGAACAAAATTTCTTGTTTCTGGCTGGGGACATGCCATAATATTACATGCTGCATCATTATTTCGTATACGACCAACTGTTTGCCATAAGTTCTCACGATTGTAACTTGTTTTTGGTCAACAACCAAATATCTCTCATATACGAATTTTTTTTTATACTGTATACGTTCCAATTACACCACCCCAACACACTAAATTGGGTCCTCAACGTAGACTTGGAATTTATGTTGGTTCTGATTCTCCATCTATTATTAGATATCTTGAACCCCTAGGTGATGTCTTTAAAGCACAATTTGCTGACTGTCATTTTGATGAGGTTGTTTTCCCACCATCAAGAGGAGAAAAGGCACAATAACAACGTGATATTACTTGGAATGCCCTGGAATTATCCCATTTTTGATC